TTATTTATTGCAAAAATTGTGCAGAGAAAACGTCAAAAAATGGAAATTTATTTTCATAAGCGTTTCATATTCAAAATTTTTGACTTTTTTCAATTTTTTTAGGTTCAATTACGAATTATGGGTATAAATAATAAGAATTTTTTCGCTGCCTGTTATAGGATCAATATCACGGACGCCATTTGTCCAGCAGCTGAGCAACTCGCACGCGTACCTGCCAAATGGGATGCTTCATATGTCCGCCATTTTTAAATATTTTTGGAAAAAAAAATACGTATGGACAGTCCAAAACATATATAAATAAATGTTTAAGTTTGAAAAATATAGAAAAATTCTTTCTCCTACAAAAAAATTCTTGAAAATAGCTTATTTTTCCTCGTTCTAATTGGATTTCCCCCCTTAAGTTCTCATCGTAGACATCGCTTAATACTTAAAATGAGCATTTCTTTTTACTGCATTGTGTCATAGCACGTCGAGGATGATTTTATCTCTGAGACCTCGATTAAGGATACACTGACTGTACTTTAGAGAGCGATAAAACGCATCGCGGAGTCTTCGCGCTCAGCGCGATTTTGAGTAGATAAAGAGGAGCGTTTATAACGCCCAGAGAGACATTTGCATTTCTAATTAACAGCGTATCAAATCGACGCGCATCTGAACGTACTAACGATCCGTAATTCGGTTATGGGATTAGCGTCGCGCTATGAATCACCATTAATTAGATCGATATCGCAGAGCCCCGTGGCCGTTGCTTAATTCGTTAATAAATCTATCGATCACCGTCGGGCCGGCACACGTATGTGTATATAAATTAGCAAATCAGCCATCAATTATTCTTCAATCGCGATCGCAAAACCGCGCGAGCGCATCGCGCCGACCCATAAATCGTCGGCCAAAACTCGATTTCGACTGTTCGTAATTTTCAAAGTCATCGACCCGCCGAAATCAAAACGACGAACTCGTCGCACCGAATTGGTCGGCTGCATTTTCGCGCTCGTCGGGCGATCGTCCGACCGGTAAACCGGATTCTTCGAGTGCGTTCACCGAGTGCGTCGAGAAATTCCCCAAAGTGCATTGAATTTCGATATTTTGTTGATTGTTTAAATTTTAAGCTACTCTCTAAAGTACAATTAGTATATTCTTAGTCGAGGAGATTTCAGAGATAAAATCGTGGTCAACACCTTAGGGAACAATGTGCTAAAGGGAATATTTATTTCACGTGTTAAGCGATGTCCACAATGAGAATTTAAATTATAAGACTTAAGCTTTGAGCCTTACGCAAGCTTAAGTTTGAGTCTTTCAATTGTAAGAGCGCGCGCGACGAATCGCGAATTGCTCATCGATCTGCTCGATCTGCCTTGGGTTCCTGTCCGGCGTGGAATTTGTCGATTAAGATAAATAGCGCGAAAAAAATTGCACGATCTCGTCCGTGAAATCCCTCTCCGAGCGTGCGGCAATACGCGCGGACCGAATGACAGCGCGCCGAGAGATATCGATGCCGCGTACAAGCCGATTGGTTGCGCGTTTCGGAGTTCCCGCACGTGCACCGGGCTGTAATGTGTGACCGACGGACGGCCTGAAATAATTTTCGACCGGCGACGGTCCCGCAGGATTTATGGCGGCGAGATCGACCGGACGTGTGCGGTCGTCTCGGCCCGTCGAGCAGCCGCGATTGCGAGAGAATCGCGGATATCACGAGGCTACAATTTTACAAAAGAGCGAGATGGTTGGGTGAACGAAAGAGAGAGGATGAGAGAGAGAGAGAGAAAGAGAGAGAGAGAGAGAGAGAGAGAGGGGAGGATGATGATGTCGATTTGGCTGTTCGCGTGTTTCGACATTTTACCCTCCATACGTGTTATTATTCCATCATTTTTGCATTTTGGCAATTTTACCTTTGACGAGAGTCGCACCGCGTGTTTGTTCCGTGACGAGTGAATGGATAAAAGTTGCTAACATCTGCCATTCCTTCTGTCAATATTTGAACGCGCATAAATAAACGATCATAACGAAATGCCGATGGTGTGATGAGACTTGATCGATGGTGATATTTTTCGAGCGAAAACATCACCCGCCGCGAAAATGGAGGTTCGGTGGAAAATGATTATAAATTTATATTTATCATCTTCTGCGCCTCTCTCTCTCTCTTCCTCTCTTCCTCTGTGAAAAAATAGCACGTAGCGCAGGAGCTATTCGCGCGTCGTTCTCCAGATGGAAGATATTTGCCGGAAAAAATATCTACAAGGAGTATATTTACGAGAAAATACCGCTTTGTTGAAAAACAAGATTTAAAAATTGTAAATTTATGTAATGTACTGTATGAGGAAAAATTACAGAATGCAAGCGCTGTTACATAAAAAAAACTCGTTTCGTGCAAACGGAAAAATATCATTCCATTGCTGAAAGAAAAACGATCACATCATTTATTTTCATTGTTTTAAGTGATGTTATTACGCTTTTTACAAAAGTATGTTTTTATCTTATTTTCTCTCTTTATTTTGTTACTTTATAAGTAATGTTTATATTAAGTTATCTTCCGTGCATAAAGAATATTTTCCTGATAATTTACTTATGCTTACTCGTGACACTTACTCGTCACAAGCATCCTACGTAAACTTGAAACAACATTCACCCGAATGCGATATGCATTTTGCTGTGCGTACAATTGATTTGCCATTGTCTGTACTGAAAGAAATTATTCGATAAGAAATTAACAAATGGATATTGCCGATCAAAATGCCGATGAATTTTTGTATCCGATTAGAAAACATCTGATGAGAAACATCGGTTCATAAATTTTTGATCGGTTTATCTGACGAAATGCCATTATGATCGGAAGTATTCGATTAAATTTAATCGGATATCCTGATCTAAAAATTTATCAGTGTTTTAATCGGAAATATCTGTTTGTTAATTTTTTATCGGGTAATTTCGCTCAGTGTGGAAATTGGACAACTAAACTCGCTCGCACACAGAAACACGAGGACTCCTCTAGCAGGAGAGCTCTATTCAGTCAATTATTCTCGGCTATCTCCACGGAGTCATTTTCTCGTTTAACGCAGACGAATGTTCCAGACTTGGATTCTCGCTCGCGATAACAGAGATATCGTTTCTCGTCGTCGAGTTTCCCGAGTCACGCGAGCCGAGATTTCTTTCTCTGTGCGGGACGAATGATTCCATTCGCCAAGGAAACAATTAACTCCGTGCGTCTTTCGATTGCAGGCGGAGTGGAGAAGACGCAGTACGGCCAGCTGCCGAAGCCGGTGGTCAGCCGCCACGGATACGAAGGTTGCCTGGCGTCGTTGGACCTCAGCGGCGAGAGCACCGACCTCAACTTAGACGCCGTGGTGCCGAGCTCCCAAGTCATGAGCGGATGCGACGTCTACACCAACCTGCATCCAGGCAAGAGGTGCACCCACGATCTCTGCGCGAATCAGGGCACATGCGTGCAACAGTGGAACAGCTACACCTGCGACTGCGACATGACGAGCTTCACCGGGCCGACATGCAACGACGGTAATGAGCGGGAAGAGGGAGCCGCTTGTCGACGAACAATCGTGTGTGTGTGATCCCGATGAGTTGGGCCATTCCTTATCCTTCCCGGCGCTATTTGACACCGCTCGTGACTCCGCGAGAGCCCTCGTTGAATCAGCCCTTCACCCTTCCGGAAAGAGAAGCGTCGGGAGAGCGCGAACGTTCGCTTGCATTTAATATAATTGCCATTTTCCGCGCGCGGAAATGGCTGAGACGTAATCGCGAGATATAGAGGACATTTCCCGTGTCTCACTTCTCGCGCGATCATTTTCAAGCTCATCATTTTTCGCCAGCCTTCTCCGCAGCGTATTTGCAATAATTGCGTGTTCATTATCCGTATTTCACGAAGTTATAACGCAAGGTTATCGAAGTCCGCGCGCGTTATTATATCGCGCTATCGGATTATTCTACATTGTAAAATAAATATTACGCGAGGATGTAAAACTAATTCATAGTTTGGATACAATCTCGATCTCGTCCGCTAGAAGTTATTTTTTCTCGAACGTTATTTTGTTTTCTCTTAACTAGAACCAACCGCGATTATCGGCGAAATTCTCCGGCGAAGGAGGACGGAAATTTCGAAAACGGGGTTAGAGCGCGAGGGAGAGTTAAATTAATTTGAGCTATCGTGTTGCGATCGTTACGCGCCGGCCAGCTCACAAGGAGGACGCGAGCTCGAGCTGTGCAAAAGTTGCACAGACAGTGGTGTTGTCAATTTCGACGGGCAGCCGGGTGTAAGCGGCTAATTTCAGATATCATCTGGTTATTAATTTCTGCTCGTGACAACAAAGAACGAAGAGAGACGCATCGCTCTCTCGCGCGCGAAGCCATTTTGCGCAAGATTAAAAGCGCTCTCCGCATTTTCGTCCAACACAAACGACATTACGTACAGATCGCTCTATATTGCGCCAATATATTGACTTTTGAGGGCTTCACGAAAGAAGGCAACCATATATCCTCTGCACATGAGCAACTGAAGTTAATTGAACGAATCCACGTAATATTTGACGTTTCCAGGTTATTGATTTTTCAGCAATAACAAATAACGCACCAAAGCACTGCGTATCGAAGTTGTAGGAATATCAATTAAATTCTTTTCGATTTAATAATTGATTCGGACAGATTTGTTTCAATTCAATTAATTGACGATTGATTCGAACGAAATCCATCGTAGAATGTTTTACTAACGATTGAATTCGATCACTTTCGTTCAATTGACGATCGATATGAGCAAAGGGAATCAAAGATCGCTCAACTAGCAACTGAGCTTAGCAAAGCTAGCTTAGCTTAGCTAATCAAGCATATGTAGAAATCTTTCTGCAAACTTTTCGGATATTCTTAAGTTTCCGAATTCAGATACGAAGGTATTCTAATGTTCTTCAAAATTTGTCTGTTTGGAGCATCCACGGGTTGTACTGACAGACACTAGCAGACGCTAGCAGTGGCTAGAAGTAATACTCGAGATCTTAATTTCCATGTCCTTCTCCGCAGAGGCGATCGCCTACGAATTTGGAGCCGCCAGGGGGATCATCACGTACACCTTCCCGCCTGAACGCCGGCCGGAAATGAAGAGGGACACTGTGGCTTTGGGTTTCGTTACCGGTGTAAACGACGCCGTGCTGCTTAGGATAGAGTCCGCGTCGAGTAACGACTACCTCGAGATCGAAATCGTTAGTACACACAGCGGTGACAGATGTCACGTGACTCATCGCCTAAATATCTCATGCTGAGAGAAATTATTCGATAAAAAGTCAACAAACGGATATTTCCGATCAAAATACCGACGAATTTTCGTATCCCATTAAGAAACGTCGATGAGAAATATCGGTTTATAATTTTTTTATCGGTTTATCTAACGAAATGCGATCAGAAGTATTCGATTAAATTTAATCGGATTGATCTGTTCGTTGATTTTTTATCAGATAATTTCTCTCAGTGTAATATGTTTATTGTCTGCTAAAAAGCTCCAGCTGAAAATTAATTTTAAGGGTTGAAACATCCTTATAAAAAAGGTCCTCACAATCTCCATATCGTCATAAGAGATATTGGAAAATTGTTACGTACAATATTTCATGGCATCTTATATTTTATAACATGGCGATGGGAGAATATTTCCGAACAAATTTTTTTCTCAAATTTCTTACCACGATGTTATAAAATATACACAAAATGCTATTGAATTTTGTGTTCGAGATATCTGTGGTATGTCAGAGATATCAGTAGAAAAATCACACTTTTCTCTTGAAAGCTGCTTTTACCTTTGTTGAATCGCTTTTGTCGGAAATATGCGTTTGCTAATATCGGATAATTTCTGTCAGTGCACAAGTTGACGAGGAATAAATGAAGATATCCAAACCCGGTCCCTTAAATCTTGTGCAGAAGCGGAAAGCGTGCGAGTGTGAGCCGCGACCTGGCGTCGTCCCGGCGACGTCCCGTGCGCTTCGCTTTAATCCTACGCCATGCCGGGCTATTAATTAAACGGTCGTTAATTTATTCCTCTATCTTCTAATTTACGAGGCGCGATATATTAGTTACCCCTCGGCGTGGCACAACGAAATGAAAACGGTCAACCGCAATTTCAACGTGAAAATTTCCTGTCACTGTCGCGGACGATAAAACTCACACACGCACGCACGCACACGCGCGTGATCAACTGTTAATACCATGTAAATAATTAATCGCTGGCTAGTTCGTGAGTTGTATTACGAATTTCAAGCAAATAATTATATAGACGTAATAAGTGGACAATTTGTGCGCGCCGCACAGCTTTATTAGCAGATAAATGATTAGCGAGCGGACGAATCATTGATACGTTAACGAGTTGTTATCTTTAGTCGTTAATCTCCGTTGTCACGTTTCGTGTGATCGTTCCGAATTGACAGGAGGCGAATACTTTTAAGTGCCGGGCGTTTTCAAGCAACAGTTCTTCCCTTATCCCTGAAATCGACTTTGAACGAGTGAATCTGCCATTCCTCGCGAAATAGCACGGACATTTGATAGTAATTTTGCACTGAAGCGCAGTTTCAGTGGGTAAACATTTTGCTGGCGACACAACGGGCGTTGCAAAAATTCACGCAGGGAATATCGTTGTTGGGAGTTCCGCCGTCGTATTTTTCCACCATGTTTGCAAAAAAATACAACCCGCAGTCTCTTAAAATACATCGTGTTGCAAGGATGGACAGTAGTTGGTTTGTTTTGCAGGTGGAGGGCAACGTTTTCGCGGTGTACAATATGGGCAGCAACGATCACCCGATCGGCGAAGTTGGCGTGAAAGTCAACGACAACCAGTACCACGTCGTCAGGTTCACCAGGACAGGGGCGAACAGCACGTTGCAGGTCGACGACTACAATCTGCAGTCTAATCATCCGTCAGGTGAGTGTTGAGTCCCTCTACGCACTGCGTGCCATAGAAATATCGTCGCGCGTGCTCCCTGAGCTTCTTTCGAAGCGAAATCCCATCGGAAAGACATGGTGACGCTGGAAGATGAGCGACTTCTCGCTCACGCAGAGTGAACTATTCGATTCTGAACGGTCGAGCGAACCGCCGTGCGAAACCGAAGAGCGAATCCGCCGTCGGATTCCACACCGTCCGTCTCACTGGAAATTCACTCTGCTCGGCCGCGGCATTCACTCGTGTGGATCAAGGAATCCGCTCTGCGGCCAAATTGAACCTTCACGCCTGCGATTTCGAGTGACATAATGTTCGCGACCATCTCGCGGGTAAATGTGTTCACACGCTCGCTTAAGTGGGAGATTTCGCTGCGAGGAGTTTAGAGAGTACAACACCGCGGCCCGAACCGTCGTCAGTCGGTGTTTGCGTACGCGATAAGCGGCATTTGTTTGCGAGGCGATTATCAACAGTCGTTGTGCGTGACCGCGCACAAACGAGCGCAAGAGTTTCTAGAGAGAAAGATTTAACAACTGCACAGCCTGTATAAGACGAAATGGATACCAGACAACAAAATTACACGAGATTTGGCCTGAATCTCAATCCGAATCAATGTGAATTGATGGGACGATGATTGATTCACGTTGAAGTTTAGACTGAACGTTATGTTGTCTGATCGTTTTGCACCCGTCATTTTAAACGCGGCATTGTACGAATTTCAGATCTCTTTCTGAAAATGAGCATTTGGAGAAATCGCAAAATTTCTTTCAATCTTTCGACTGCCGACAACTTTTGAAACTTACAAATTTACGATCCTGACATTATTTTCCAAAGAATTAAATATTAAAGTGGGATCCATTTGCTCACAAAACACTCGTCGATGAAAGCGCCGCAGAACAAATCAAATAAGTTATGCGCGAATGAACGTAATATCTAAAGCACAACGATCGAGGGCAATAGTCGTAACTGAATACCAACGAGACTCGATCGCGCAAAAGTCCGCATCGCCGTGAGACGATACGGGCGGCTCGAGGGCCGCTGATGAACTGAGAACGAGAGATTCCCCTGTGTCCTTTTATGGTGAGCCCGGTGCCTCGCACCGCCGGGCATTGGCCACCTCTTCCCCGGCCATGGGAAACGGCCTTGATCGGTCGTACACATCGGGCCCCGCCACTATTGTCTCGTCCTCCTCGAGAACGCGAAGGCCGCCCGTTGCTGGCTGGCCGACGCGCGCGAAGGTGTTCCGCTCGTGCTGGGAATGATTTATTAATGCACTGGGAAATCATCAGCTAGCCTGGGAACATTCTTCCCACGATTGCGCCGCAATGCGCAATTACCGATTCCGCGATTTATGCAATTAGAGACGCCGAGCTCTCCTTAGTTCATCATATTCGGCATTGAACATATTTCATATTGAACCTTGCAATCTTATTGTTCTTTCTCTCTCTCATTTTCTCTCTCTCTCTCTCTCTCTCTCTCTCTCTCTCTCTCTCTCTCTCTCTCTCTTTCTCTTATCTAAGTACAGATAACCATTTAATTGTTTCGACGCAGCCATATAAGAACGCAGTATTATTCGAGAAAACCAGAATCATCAGGTTCTTATTTTGATCTCTTTCTGTCTCTTTTTTTCTTCCTCTTATCAATAAAAGTGTCTGTAGATGTGGTGTTGTAAGCCGATTCTGATTGGCTTTCATTTTTGTAACGAATTTGTATAATTCGCGATCTTATTTATATTGCATACACAATATGTTTAATATTGATGATAATATTGTATAATTTTGCTTTCACGTACAGGAGTTTTATCCACTTTCCACTGTTTCTCGATAAAAAAAGATTTCAGCATAACGATCTCAGTATTTTTCTCGATTTTTCTCCCCTTGGGGTATTCGAAAAAATCCTTAATAATGATTAAAACTTTCTTTATTCTTGAAGACTGTATAGCTCTTCTGTGAGAAATAAATTGTTTTAGGTGTTTCATTTTTAATGATTTTTAAAGAGAAACGTCCTGAGAAATGAGCACTCCTTAAAATGGCCCGAATACAAATAAACTTGGTTGCCACTCGATTTAATTTATTGCTAATCTAATCGCGTGATTGTTTCATATCCAAGATCGATTTTATCGGACAATGCCTTTAAGCAATTTGATCCAAAATATCTTAAAGCAAACTCATCTCGCTGTTCGTGACGAAAGTTACAGGACGAAGGAAAGCAAGATAGAGATAGAAAGATAGAAAGAGAGAGAAAGGGGAGCAAAGAAAGGAAGGAGGAAAGAGAGAGAAGAATCAAAGGTACCTGCGGCCGAAAGGGCCGCTCGAGAGGGCTGGGGCCAGGTCCCAGAAAATCTTCAGAAACCGACCTCCGCGTCTTTCCTGACGGCCGAGTTTTCCGGCCGGGAAATAATTAGCTCGCACACTTTTCCGCGGAAGAATTCACCAAGGCGTTCCGCTACCATCGTCGCTCTTCTAACGCTCTGGTATCTTCGTAACTTTTAATTAGATATATTCATCGTGACGCACATGCCACGTGCCACGTGCAGCATCGCCGTCGTCGTCGTTGTTGTGCACCTGTCGAAGCTTTTCGTTCCCCTGAGAAGATGAAATCCTGATGCTCGAGCGAGCGATCGAAGTTTCATTGATCGTCCGGCCGTGCTAAGTCCGTCTATCTGTCCCTCGGGCGCGGCCTTTGAAATTTCCACGCGTAACATGCCGTCCTGATAACTTGACCTTTAAAAAACGCTTTCGCTTTTCCGTCAGAGTGATGTGCTTACGAGGCTGGCCGCTTCTCCGATGCCACGCGCCGCGCGCGCGGTCACGTCTCGACGAAGAAGTAAACTGGAAGAGATGAGAACGAGGCCAGAGCGTACTGACTTAGGCGAATGAATTATGAAACGAATCGAGCGACCGCGATTCCGAGCGGGTAGAACGAGTAGAATTCGTTAGATCGTCGTCGAGGTCGTGGAACCGCGACTCGGCTCGACGTGCGAATTCAGAGAGAGGATTATCGCGGACGATCGCTCACGATAATTTCTGCACACTTGGTTTTGCGAGCGCGACCGCGAAATTACGAGCCACTGCTGAAATTCGTGAGAAAACGGCTACGCGGAGGCTACGCTCGCGTAGCGAAGGGAAAGGGCTGAACAAAAGCCTGGCTGATCATCGGAGACAGTCGAGGCATGTCTTACGGGACACCATAAGGGAGCTTCTTGCACCAGCATGGTATCCTGGCAATCATGGTTGTGCCTATGTTGTTTCTGCCCATGGCCTGAGCTGGATCTTAGCCGTGGAGACGGAGCGAGTGAATGAGAGAAGAACGCGAGAGAACACACACACATACACAAACACTAGTGGTGTCTTTCTGCACGCAGCACATTGGGTTCTCTAAGCGAGAGACGCGCTAATTTCCTCAACATTTCCACGCGAAATCGGAGACGCTAAATTTGTGGCCTTATTCGCGAACGTTGCACACGTTATACTAAGAGAAAAGATATCCGAAAAATGAAGAATGTTTGTTCGATATGGGTGCTAGGTAGCGCATACTTGCTTGAATCTGAATTCGTTTGTTTAAGTAGAATAAACAATTGTTTTTGTGCGAAAGGCAACGGTTTTAGGAGAACACCGTCAGTAAGAAGTTCGAGATCTCACCGGCTGATTTTTCACTAGAACGAATTTTCCGATATGTTTCGTTGCGCTTTGCTGTTGTTGCCTAAACTACGAACTGTTATTTTCAAACAGAACAAAAGCATTAAAGTTGCTGCAGAATTGTCTCTTCTTCAAACAACAAAGTTCCTCTGTTGCTAAATTTACATCGCGATTCCAAACTTTTGTGTATGTATCCTGTGGCCGACAGTATATATGGTTTCCCAAAGAGATTTTTTCTCAATGCAACAATATATATGTAGTGCAAACATGTTATTGGTACCCATTGAAATATCTCTTATTTTTTCGATATTTCTCAGTGTAGAGGCGGAATCGCGCGTCTAATTCGACAAGAAAAGAATCGGAGAATGTTTTAGAATTTTTTATTGCTACATTTCCCTCGATCGTATCGCTACGAGAAACTAATATTGAAGTTGCATAATTTCCTGCTTAAAAGAATTCTTCGACTTGACAAAGAAAAAGAAATAAAGAGCGGGCATGAACGACGGAATTATTGAATACTTGTTTTCGCGCCATTCTCTCTTGGCAAATTCATGCCAATTAGTTGACGCGCCTCTTGCTGTCTTCCGATGTCGTGACTCGAATCTCTAAGATCGCTGATTTATGAGTCGCCAGCTACGCGGACGACGCGTCAGACTACGCATAATTCGATGAATTTAGCTACCAGGCTTATATGCGTAGCATGGAGCATGGCCCTCTTCATTTTTTACGCAGGCAAATTTATTCTAATTAAATCAAATTAGATTCACCCTCCTTCATACTCCCTTCTCTTCGTTTCTCTCTCTCTTTCTCTCTCTCTACTGCTTGATCCTCTTGCTCTCTCTCTCTCTCTCTCTCTCTTCCATTCTCTCTCTTATTTAAATGCCGATAAATATTTGATTCGTTTCGATGCGCACAGTCGTATAAAAGCGCAGCTTGCGACGTCCATCGAGACACTTGACGCGCACAAGCACAAGAAAAGAACGTTGAAATAAATCTGAAAATTGACAATATAATTATACAAGAATGATTCAATCTACACGAGATGCATTTCGAGCAAAATGAAGATGAAAATAGCTCCCGACGTCTCCATTTGAAAACGTCTTAAAGAGTAAAGCTCGTTCGCGACGAGAGTTGCGGAGGAAGGATACAAAACGACTAATCAGGCCGACTCGGTCGGCGGACAACCGATTGCCGCGATGCGGGCAGATTTATGAATGCGGAGAATTCACGGATCCAGCCGGCCGGACTTACGATTGTTGTCTCGTGGAAAATTAATTAATAGACTTTATAAAGTCGCGCGCCGACGCGTCTGGGCCATTCAAGAACATCCCGATGTCCCTTGCTTCT